CCGCCACACGCTCTTTGCTGGACACACCGCCCGACCTCCTGTCGGGAAGACTTTCGACGCAAGGCTCGAACCACAGATCTTTCCTTCGCTGGGCTACACCATTTGATCCGTCAAATCATCTTGTACCGCCGTGGCTATAACTTCACGGAACACGCCGCCCGACCTCCTCTCGTCGAGAAGACTTTCGACACAAGGCACCACGTGCGGATCTTCTTTCTTGGTCTTGGTCCTATTGTTACACCGTCACACCGGGATTTTTCTACACTGCACAGTCCGCTGCTCACGCCCTCAAGAACCTTGGGCTCTGATACCACATGTTGGGACTGCGGGACACGCCGCTCGACCTCCTGTCGGGAAGACAAAAAACAAGATTCTTAGAATGTTGAATATAAAGAATTTTTCTAATCTTTTTATTATATTTCTATTTTACTAAAATCATGTGATATGAATAGGTGAAATAGACTACGTATATACATTAAACTAACTATTTACGGAGTATATAACGAAGCCTAGTGACTTATCATTTCATCCCTAATAATGAATGGATTATACTCCATTTCGTCCTAAAAATGTTTTTTTAGTATTTTTGGTCTAACTGCGATATTCTTTGACCATAAATTATAAAAAAAGTATAGTTAATTATAATATAAATTCAATATATATGGGTTCATCCTAGGAGAAAATTTTGATATATTGTCTTTGTCCCACAAAACATTTTTTGTTTTCATTTTTAAAGGATTTAAAAGGAGAATATTTTAGTGTTGACTTTCTAAAAGCACCATTGCATGTGATATACTCCGTATTAAAGTAGGATATGATGAGTAGATTAATAATGACAAAATGTGATGTGAGAGATAGGTTAATAATTAGTAGAAGTAAAGCAACTTTTTAATAGAAATGTGAAAAGTTTTTGAGACAGATGAAAAATAGGAGAAGGTTTTGTGGGACGTAAAGAGTATCACTTCGTTATTTAGATTATGTTTAATTTGTGTTCAAATAGTGTCACTCTTTAACCAAAAAAAGTAAAAACAGAAAATATTTTTAGGGTTGGAGGGAGTATATTTAATTTTGTTTATTCCTAGATATTATTTTTATCGTGCACCGCACGGGTTTAAATTTTTGCTCTTTATCTTGCAGAATTTGATTGAGGATTTTGTGGGATCAAAGGATAATCACTTGGAGCAAAATGGAGATGATATCACTAACTCTACAATGAACAAGAGAATGAAAGAGGTGCAAAAATTTGATGGAGATGGAGAAGAGTCGAGCAAGAAGATGAAGTCCGTTAAAATAGAGAAAACTAAGTCTAGAACCTTTACGTTATCTTGAGAATATTATTTCTATCTTTTTGGTTTTTATTGTTGTGTTAGACAGTTTATAAATTATAACTATTGGATTCTTTGGTTAATCCTTTTAAATAAAGTAGTATGTCAATTGAAAAAAATAATGCATTTGATCTTTTTATCTCTCGTCCATTAAAAAATGAAGAGTGTAAAAATCGAAGAAAAATAACATTATATTATATTTGATTTATTGATGACTTTTGTTTTATGGTTTGACTTACATGGTATGGTTACACGTACTACACCATCTAAAAGTATGTACACTACAACAAAAGAAGGCAATACCGACAGGGGTCAATATGTCCCTAATGGTTAAATATCTCTCGCTACTCGCTTTTACTGACAGATAATTGTCTGTCGCTAAGCTGTCGCTAAAAACTCCGTCAGTAAAAGTATTTCCGACATATAAAATATACTGTCGCTAAAATAGAGTAATAGCGACAGATCAAAGATGTCGCAAAAACATATATTTGTAGTGTTTTTGTGTCGGGTCATACTTACATATATAAAAATAATATAACAAGAAAACATTGTATAAAAATATTGTTTGTGGGCACAAACATTGCACCTAGCCTCATAATATAAATTTATGGTCATACTTCAAGGAAATGAAATTATAGTCTATTTCTAAGTAGATTTATACTACTAAGTTTTCTTTAACAAATACTCACTCTGTTTCTCAAAACGGTTCCTCTTTTGACTTTGGGGAAAAATGAGGAAAATGTAATTTTAGTTCACTTTCCAATTTTGCCACTGATGTGATGGGTAAAAGTAAGATGTGATAGTTTATTTATTAGTGAAAAAGTATGATGTGATAGGTAGGGTATGAAAAAGTAGGGGTAAAAGTGGTTTTTTAATACTCCCTCCGTCCCTAAATATTTGTCACATTTGTATTCCTGAGACAAAATATCAAGTTTTTTCAATTTATTTTATTTACATATTGGTATAGAAATAAAAAATAAAATTTACATATCAAAAAACTACATGAAAAGTTCTTCGAAATAAGAGGTGTCAAGAATATTTTATTTTATCAAATAACCAATGAAAACGTAGAAATAAACAAAAAGTTCCCGTGACTGCTCAAAAATCAAATGTTGTAAACAATTTGGGACGGAGGGAGTAGAAAAGAGAAGTATTTTAAGAAAAACAAAAAAAAATGAAAGAGGAATAGTTTTAAGAAAAGGAGGGAGTAATTGATGATCAAATTTTGTTTAATTTAACTTTAAAAGGATAAACTGAGCGAATATTTTAGGAGAAGGGTAATAAGTAAATAAAATTAAAATGGGGGTTGAAAAAATATCATACAAAAAATGATCTTACCTACCAAAATTATGATCAATTTTATGTTATTTCACAAACGAAAACAAAGATAAGATTAAAAATATTGTTTATAGTTGAGATGCTAATCCTTGCAATCATTACAAAATATTACTCAGAGTATATAACTTGAAGTCTTTCATAAAATTTGAAATTAAAAAGATTTTCCCTATTGCACTTTCAATTTCTCAAATATTATTTTTTCAATTTTGGCTTTTGTGTCCATAGTATTAAAAATCATGCAACAGATATACTGCGGATTAAATTTGTGCTTTGATGATACATTATTGTATGTAATCCTTATATATTACAGGAGCAGCGACGCTATGGAGTTGGATTGAGGACTTTTGAGCTCGCATATATACTTCGGTTCTAGGTAGTGCTCACATTTCATTGGTTGATGAGATAGATATTCGCATTTGATTGGTATGTTGCTAGTGTTAATCAAATAATGCGAAATCTTTAAACTCTTTAGGGTAGTGTGTTTGGGAACTAACATTTCATTTCAATTCTTGCACTTCACTTCCAAAATTTGAATCCGTGAATTTCAAATGACCTGAGGTGGTATATTGATTTCAAATTAAGCTTTGTTATGAATAAGAGGAATTTGCCTCAAATCCAAATCCAATTTTTTCTTTCTTTCTTTTTTTTTAAGATTCCCAAACATAGAATTTGATCCAAATCACTGTTTCCAAACATGCCATAAATATATTCATTGCTAAGCTTCCCATATAACATTAGCTTTAGCTTTGTTGGTGTTTTTTAAACTTAACAACAACCCAGTATAATACCACATCTGTTGGGGTCTAGGGGTCTAGATGACCTTATATGCATTGGTGCATTTACTGCCCAAAACTTCATAGAGACTAAGAAGCAAGAGAAGTTTAGTCATTAATGTGCGCTTATTTTATCTTATCTAGTCCATTAGCGTTTTAAAGTCATGCACCATTAACGACTAACCTTTCAATCAATATGCAATGATGATGATGTCGGTTTGATTTTGTCCTGTTTGGATGTACATAGCCTGGATAGTCGGGCGAACCTTTGTGCACTCGAGTGTGCTTATATTAGATATGTCATCTGAAGTAGTTGAGGGTGTGCATTGTTTTTTTCGCATGTGCTAATATTAATTTTTTATACTACCCTTATCTACCACTGAGAAGGTGTATGGTGATCCAGCATCCGAGGCTATCATTTCATCCCCGAGTCAGTCTATTTGGCGATACCGGGTATGCCAATTTATTCTTGGTGAGTCTTCAAAAAATCATGTTTTGTCTTTGCTAGTTACTAACACTCACATTGACATTGTAAACTATATCAGGCAAGCCATAAATTCAATTACTGGAGATTGATTAAAGTCTAAAACCCACTTTGGCCCTAATGTTTTCCTAGGTTGGGTTAGTCCTTAAACTTCTCTTGACCCTGTTTTAGCCCCTTCTTTTTCTAAAATGGTGCTAATTTGGTCCCCGATTGATCTTTTACAATCAACCGAATCAAATGTTTGGTTTAGCTCTTTTTATTTTCCAACCCAATCAAATATTTTTCAATTGCACTTGCATTTTTGGCCAGTTTATTAAAAAAAATTGACTATAGGACAAAGCCGTCATGATTCTGGAAAACTTAGGGACCAAAACAGGGTTGCAACTCGCAAAACACTTAGTTACTGAACCTGTAAAGTGGATTTGAATATGAGGATCAAAATGAGGTTATAGCCTTGATTAAATGAGTTGACATCATCTAATTAATTAAGTCAAATAATTAAAGCGAGAAATATAGATGTTTAGAGACGAACAAATAATGTGAAGATTGTCTGTAAACTTCAATATTAAGAGAAACAGAAATATATAACATGGCATATGGAGATGACAAGTCAACACTTTATGGGATGGACTATAGCACCTAGACTAAAATTTTGACAAATTACATCATAAAAGTGTCAGATAAATTAATATCATACCCTCATTGTATTTTTCTCTTAGTTACTTCGGTATTATGCATCTACTACTGATATCACCAAAGTTGGGTTTTAATTGTTACACAACGCAGACCATATTTTTACTCTGCACTTGCTAGAGAGAAAATAGTATGGCATAGTTCTCTTTGAGAATTGTTGAATGCTCCTGTATTCCTAAAACCAAGCACGTGATTGTTTATATGTTGACTATTCTGATAGGGTCTTAAAATCGAGTACCATTAAGATGCCATGTTTTAGTTGTATACATTTTAGAGAGGCATAGATGAAGGTTACATGCTTTGTTTTAGACACTTAAAAAGTGTGAATGAAATTTGTGTGTGTTGTTTCAATGTTTGAACTAACATCACTTAACTTCTCCAAGTCAGGTGGCAATGATGGCACAGTTTCAGGCTGCTGGGGGAACTCTCAGAGATGCATCAATACGAGAATGGGTACTTCTTGAGGATGATGATAAGAGGCATTTGATAAGGTAATTTTGATTTTAAACATAAACAAAATGTTGTCATGGCAGTCAACTAATTATTTTGACAGAATAAAGATATAAAGAAAACGTTAAAGAACGTCTGACACTTCATCCTCACTTTAGGAGTATTGCCTGTTGTGAATAATATAGGAGAGTGAATATTATCATCTTTTGTTGTGTACAAAAAGATACCTACTATAGGGAGGTTGAGTCTAGCCCAAAACGTGTGTCTCAACGAGGCAATGTGGAATAAAAATATAAGACAATTCATATGCATATCCCACCTTTTTGTGCCTTTTCCATGGGCAGGTGATTCGAGCATGCAGGCTGAGTCTAACTTCTACTGGAATAACAAGCTGTGGCCTGTCATTTGGATTGGGTTCAAAAGCCAATAGATTCCAACCCCGTGTATCCCTCAACAACATTACCTCTTTTAAAATAAACATAAAGATGAAGTTTTTGTTAAACCGTTGATGAATTGCTGCATTTACCGCCAAAAACCTCATAGAAAGTAAGTAGTAAAGGAAGTTTAATGTGCCATTCTGATTCAAATCTTTGTTTGAGTAAAACTAACCACAACTTTGACCTTTTAGGGTCCATTTTTGTGTGTCAAAATCGTCCCATTTGACCATTGTCTTTCACTGGTCATATCTAAGAGATGGTTCTCATCTTCGCTTTAGTTTAACACTACAACAAACTTACAATCTCCTATAAGAATAAAAGGACCAATGCCACTTTCTAATAGGGCAATTATTTAGTCCCATGTTTGACTTTCCAAGCTTGACAAAAATCTTAATCTCACGGGGCAGTGTAATCTTACGAGCAAATTGTAAGTTGTGGAAGAGTAAATTGCGGAATTGTATCATACAAAAATGAATCAACACCATAAGATCACATTGATTTGTTAGATTGGCTTTCTAATTTAAGTTATGAGTGACAGGCGTGTTGGTGAGTGAAGAAGATAATAGACTACAGAGATTCATGGACCTTAATTAGTCTGTGCTCTCTCTTGGTGGTGTTCAGCTAATCACTTCATCTTTCTGCTGCAGTTTTTGCCTTTGTTGTGTTTTCAAATATGCAAGTTCACCTGAAGGCTATGTCATATCAAAAAACTGCTTCAATTGCCGCGCAATAGATGAAAAAGAGTCGGTTGGTGCCTGTCTCATCATCTTAGTGTCTTGCCACCCACAGGCAACAAGGTACATGTTGAGAGCTGATTCAGTACTCATGAAGTTGAATGTGATTAGGTAAAGACTGCTTTACATGGTATCTCATATCTACAATTTTTTATTATATAAAACTGATCCGAGTAAAAAAATGAAATTAATGGTAATTTTGATTGAATAATGCTGAATTATTGGGTTATTGAACTGAACATAGTTGAGATAAAATGAAGTTGGAAGGAATGCACTCTAAGCTTTGTAGGATGCCACACCATATGAAAACAGTGTACAAGGTGACAGGATGGTAGTATGATAAAAACAATAAAGCTTAAAGGTCGGCTCTACCTTTTGGAAAGTGGGGGGGGGGGGGGGGG